TTCCCTCGGATGCAAAACAATCTGATTTCATTTTCCTGAAGCCTCTTCCTCCCGCCCCTTCAGTGGCTTTCTATAATTACTTTCTCACTCGTTTTATATCGCACATTATGACTGTGTGAATTTATCACAACCAGATATAAACCATCCCTGCGTATGTCTCCATTAACACGGCCATCGTCTAATACGGAGTGGCAATGTCGGCTAATATAAAGAAGTCAGTGAGGAGAGTTAAAAACCTGGGGACAGTTTTGTCTTTCACTTCATTATGAAACAGGGATCAAATTCGGATTTCACTAATCTAATTAAACAAACCACGGCCAAAAGGAAAGTCCAGGCTTATGAGAAACTTTAGCAGGAGTTTTTCATTAATCCATTTCTGCTGAACTGGAAAAGTGCCAGTTCTATATCAGCTCGTCAATTACAGGAAAGAATACAAAATATTCAATAACCTCTGAAATCTGTTCCCAGCAGCTATTCAGAGTTTCAATCAGTTAAATAAAAAATCAAGAGGAAATTATGTAAAGGGGAATAATTTCCACATAAATCTAATGCTTAAGGCACATTTTGACAAAGCGATTTGGAATATTAACCTAATTTCCCAGAACCTTTCATTTAAACCCTGTCAGTCAGTTGTTTGTGTTTCCACCGCCTGGTCCGAAACGGGTCCATGTATTTAAATGATGCTGGCTGACAGTGAGCAGCTGCTCCTCTTAAAGGAAGGGCTTTGCTGCTGTGAGCATCAGCAATTTTGGGGGACTGATTACCACACACCTTAACAGCAGAGTTTGGTGTGAGATTAAAACTGTGAATCACACAAATACAGCAATAATACCAGAATGTTTTATGACAATGATGGTGCACAAGCAATGCGAAACCATTCCAAACTTAGAGGAAATGTGCAGCTGGAATGGATTTTGAAAAATCTGATGGTGGGTGTATGTGGAAGAGATAGAAAAGCAGCTCCAATTGCAAACTTAAAAACGTTATGATTTTCAGCAGAACAATTATCACCAGTAACTACACTTTATGACTTATGCCCTCAGTCAAAATCTTTGAGAAATGTATAATTGTGGCAAACTTTATATGAATATTTTCCTGCTCTTGAAGCAGAGCAAGATATATGAGCAGGATCACATCTCTGAGTTCAATAGCCGTGACTTTTCTTTGTTTATTTTTTCACGGCAGTTACAACCTGAGAAAGAAATGCAATTCCTTCTAGCTCAGAGGAAGTTTCAAATAATCTACATATCCTCGTGAATTAAAGCCTACATGGTGTGTGCCAAGAGACCAGCACACCCAAACACACAGCAGCAGAAGATTATGCAGAATGCACGACTCTCTCAAACCTAAAATAGGTTAACGATGTACAACCTTTAAGGGTTAAAATTATTTTCATTTGATAAGACATTCTAATATAATGGATTTGGATCCATAAAAAGGAGCCTGATGAAAGCGTTAGTACAGAGCTTTCATCTCGGTATGCTATATGTACAGTTTCAATTATGTCAAATAGAACTATATAAGTAGTTTCTAGCTCTCTGGATGTAGAAAACCAGATCATTTTCTGCTGTTCTGTTTGGATTAAGTAATGCTTTTAGCTCTGGACCTGATCTAGAACTGGACCAGCTTCAGTTCACAAACCCTTAAAGTGCAGATATGCAAAGAAAAAAAAACAAAAACAAAAAACAGCCTCACCTGTCAGATAGCTGTTTTCCTCCACGGCTTCCACGTCCTCCCTGCAACATTTTGCATCCCATAATACATTCTTTGGGTGATCTCAGTTAGAAATTTATGATTGACATAATTAAAACCACCTTGTTTGCAGTAATTAAAATCATTAAGGAGGAAAAGAACATTACCTACAATTGAAACCAGATATTTACACACACACTGAAGAGACGCATAACTTCTTCCGTCTTTTAGGCCAACTGAGATTAACAAAATTATTTCTGGTGGGTAAATGTCAGAAAACTGATGGAGATTTTTTTATTTCTTTCGTCAAAATCAAATGTTTACATAAACTAATATCATTATGGCCTAGTACCATTTGACAAAGCCCATTTAATAATGCTATGGCTTTTCTAAGGTTTTTGACAGGTTAGTTTACAAGGTTTAGGTTCAACTGAGACACATGTGTAGACGTATTTTAAAGCAACAACTCAAAAATGCTGGTGTGTGTTATTGGCAGAATATGTCTTGCTGAAGTCTGACTTAAGGCATACAGTTTAAAAGACAATTTTATCAAATATGAAGAAAATGTAAGCTAACTTCTAAATTTTAAGAAACTAACACATTCCAAAAGATTATCTCATTTTTCACACATTCAGCAAATAGAAATAATTTTAAAATTCCTGTTTTAACTGACTTAAAACAGGAAAAGGTGAGTTGTATTTAATGCTAGACAGTTAGAATAGATAGGTTATGTGTCTTTATATGCAGCACATCTAAATATCCAGTTCCAAATGTATAAATCAACACCAAAAGAAACTCACCCTCATTCCTCCTCTTTTTTCTCTGCGCATGACTGTCTCTCTCATTCTGTCTCTGTCTGCCAGCGTCCCCATCTGATTTGACACATTTGTTTCTTTTGGTATTACTCCTCTTTTACGGAGCTCAATCTGTAAAATGTGCAGAGTTATTTGTTCACTTCATGTGGAGAATGAAATTTTTTAACAGAAAAACAAGAGGAAACGTGCTCCCACCTTTGAACTCTCCTGTCCTGGGGCGAATATGGTGGGCACTGCGTCCTCCCTCAGGAACTGCTTTCCGTTGTAGTCCCTGAAGCAGTCGGTCCTGAAGTGCTCAGAACAGAGGCAAGTGTTGGGGGTCGGGATGAAGTTTTTCATCCCCAGGCTCTGGACCCATTTGGTGGCAAGTTGAGGTTTGCTAAGAGGGAATCTGACAAACAGAGAAGAAGGGACATGGAAGGATTTCAACTTTTTCACAAATTGACAATACGTTTCATGACAGACATGTCTCACTTTGACACCGCTGATCTACACTGTCACCACACTGGCTGAGCTTCATTTGACGATGTAAAATTTGACTGCATATCATTATAACAGCATGCGATAGAGCTATGTATGTCTAGATATGACTCTGACTATATCGTATGGTAATACTATGTAAAACAGGGTTGTCCAAGTCCAGGCTTAGAGAGCTACTACCCTGCAGAATCTAGATGGATCCCCTCTCCAACACAACTCAATCGTTGTTATTCGGAGGCCTGGTAACAAGGATTCATTAGATTCAACTGATTTTGCTTAAACTATAATACTGGGTAAAAGTTATGGAATAAGTAAATAATACGTTCTTAGAAACTGATCAGATGGAATTCACCTCGTTTTTAATACTGCAATGCCTGAAAAGTCAACGATTCCCACTAATGTGTTTACAAAATCTATAAAGAAAATTTAGCGCTACAAATGATATTCCACGGAAAATAAAAGTCTGTTTCAACCACGTGATAAATTAAATTACTATTACTATATCCTGACTGTAACTATTAAAAAAAAGCAACTTACTGTTGGGAATTGTACTGGATTTGTCTATCACAAAAATAGTGTATATAACTAGAGCGATTGCATTCTCCTTAAAAAAGAATCTTCGTTCAAAGATGCATTTTATAAAAGCATTTAAAACGAAAATACAAGGTTCGTTTTTGTCTACAATCACAATTAAATCTGACGTAAAATAGCTTTCTGCAGCACTAAACAAAATACAGTCCAATTTCTTGTTATAAGTGTTAAACCTACCTGTAAAATCTTATCTCCGACCCCTTAACAAACTTATTATTGCACCCCGGTGCAGCACAAATTACAGGCATGATGTTTTTTTTTTAAAGAAACTATACAGGAATGCAGAAAAACACTAAAAACGTGCACAACATAAACAAGAGTTATAAGATTGCTGTCTTCCGTTTTTCTTCTTTTATGATCACACTTCCTGTTTGGTCTTGAAGTCGTGTGCTCTCTAGTGGCCGTTTGTGGAGTTACACCCAATTTTTCCATCTACTTCAGTTTATGAACTTGTGATTAATTCCCATTAGGGCTGATTACAGTATATGTTTGAATTTGAGCTGATTTATGTCACCTCACAGAAGTTCAGTAAGATAAATAGAAAAGGCTTTGACATTTCCCTGGATTTTCTTTTTCTCAATTCTCTTCTAGTCCTTGGTAAATTTATTTGTGTCTTGTTTCAGTGTCAGATAAGGCTGGGTGTATTGATCTGAATATCAATACTGTCAATACCAGAACACAGGCATCAGATCAGTGCTACTGGGAAGAGATCAATACTTTTAGTTGCACATTCTCTCCCATATGCAGCAAATTATTCAAATTTGCTCACATAGTTCATGCCAGGGCATATGTAGGAAATCAATGTCAAATAACAAGATCTTACAATTTCATTTTGAGAGCAGGATTTTATGTCTTTGTAATGTTTGCAAATATTAATATGGATGAACATAAGGTTTGTGTGTATTTATAGGTGTGCTACAGTCAACACTGGTCCACACAAACTCAGTAAGTTGGTACATTCCTTCAGGCATTTTTTATTTCTCGTTAATAGGCTGTTGCTGGTTTTCTATGAACTAATATCGATGTTTAAATAGTCCTACTCAGTTGCATGTTTCTTTTGATCTGAGTATGGTATTTTCATTTTTGTTTTTAATAAATGTACAGGATTAGTTTTCCTATGCTGTAAATTTGAACCATCTGTTTAGTCTAGTTTCTATTCTAACCCATCCCCCTGTTTTTCTTTTTAACATTTGTACCTTATACATTCTTCCATTTACCTGTACTTGCTACACTTGAATTTTTTCATAGTGGAGCAGTCACAATTATTCTATTCTATTCTATTCTATTCTATTCTATTCTATTCTATTCTATTCTATTCTATTCTAGATAATAACGGAATATCAAGTGTCTGTTTTTTGTATCTGCCTGCAAGCCAAAACACAGGGTAAAAAACACCCAGGTGCCTAGGGGCGTCTTAGTCACATGATGTACTACGCTGGCTAACGAGTTAGCTTGGCTTGTCAAAGCCGTAGTCAGGAATCACGTACAGGACTGAATCTCCTAACTTACTGAACAGGCAACCCGTCATAGAGGCGTGAACCTCCTGGAAGGTAAAGAGTTAGTTGTTTTATGTCTTTCCTGAGTTTGTTAGTGAGATCTGGGGACTGAAATTAGCTCCGGTTACTAAGTTCAACTTGTTTTTGTCGTTACATTCATGATGTTGGCCTTGCTGTGTGGGTTGACCATTAAGCTAATCTCCCATAAACAACCCCATTCTTGTTATTCTAAGTGTTTTAGGTAAATTGTCAAAATCTAAACTACTTAGCTCGCTAAAGTTTTGACGTAAAGCAACAGTAATCCTCTTTACGCTAGTTTCACAAAACAAGTTGCGTGTCAAGAGTCCATAACTAACTTAGCTAATGTTAGCAGCGAATGTGTGGTCAGAAAAATAAAACAAGTTCCAGCTCTGTCAATATAAAACTCCAGACATGTGAGTTATCTGTTCATAGTCAGTTGACATGAAATTCTACAGCACTACTTCAGTTTGACAAAAGCCAACTAGGTTATAAAGTATTTCTCTTGAGCTCATTGTGGTCGTTTCAGTTCTGTATGAATATGATTGAGGTTTAAAAAAATGAGCCTAAATGTCAGTGTACTACCCACATATTCAGACATGTGAATGTTTGGAGTTTCTTGCTTAAAAAAAAAAAACTCCTAAAGAGGAAACAGCGTTTCAGAGAGTCGATAACGTTGGTTGCATGTATTACAATATGTTTTCTCTCTGAAATTAAGGTGGATAAACAACAAATGAGGCGTTATGAAGAGGTGCAAATGCAGAACTCTTTTAAGACACCATAGCAATTGTTCCACTGATCTTTTATGTCTGGCATCTAAGGATGCCTTTCTTTGTTATGACTAATGGAAATTCCCATCAAAGCAAGGAAAGTTTTGATGCACAGAAACAGGAGATCTACACCAGATTGCATTCTCACCATTAGTAGGTATATTGTATGACAAAAATAACTACTTTAGAAGAAAGAGCAATAAATAACTTTTAAATTATACTGGGATCTTGTAAAATATATTGCAGTGTTGTGCTGTATGAACAAGGAAGCACCTCTGTGTAGCATTTAAGTAATCTGTTCAGATCTGATCATGTCTGCTAGGTATAGTTCTGTCAGAAGTTTAGAAATAAATGTTATCTCTGAAATGGATTCAGTGGACAAATCATGGTTGTGGTTTTAGAGCATCCTGACCATGGAGGTGGTGCTTTAGACATTTGTGCCTTTTTAAGTTGCATATCTTTTGTTTCCAGTTTTATTTGTAGTATTTTGAGAGAAAGCACTTAATAGTTTGTGAAAGGATGATGATTTTCACAAATATTTAAGAGGGTAAATATCATTTGAAAATTAATATTAGACTGTTTTAAAAGATGGAAGTTTTTACTATTGGAATTTCTGTGTTTTTCGTCTGAATATTTTGGAAAACCATGGCAATGCCTCAGAAGATCAGTGCTGAAATGCTTCAAAACAGACACTGTAAGACTGTCGGCTGACTACAAACAATGTTTACAAGTTGTGACAGTTGCTTTAAATAATGGTTTTACCGTATGTAATGCCAGTACATTGTGCCCTAACTTGCTCAAATATTAATGACTTGGATAGTTTTTTTGATTCAGTAAGATAAATTACAACTAGGTTTCAAATCTACCAATTCCTATTACTTGAGGCTTTGCTTTTCTTATCTTAATGAGCCCTTTTCCTCAATAACCATCCAGATAATGTCTGATTCACCTGTTTGTTAATGCGGCATCACTTCCATCTTTTTATCATGTCCACCACTATGGTGACCTAACATAATTCTCTGCTCAGCCCCACCCAGTGTTAATCTTGCCAATAGGTCAGAAGAAGTAAAAAAATTAGGGTGGATCTGCAAGCAGTAAATGAATCACTTCTTCTTCTACTAGGGCGTGCATGAGAACCCCAATTCTATGTGGCGCCAGCAATTCCTGAAAATCAGCGGCGCCTTCGTTTCCCACCAGTTTGTTGCTGAACATGGGAATCCCGTTTTGCTTTTTGAGTAAGAGATGGTACGCTTTGAGGAAGCCACATTTCCCTCCCAGTTCTGCTGACTGCTCCTGTATACCAGTGCCCTGCGTATTTTCTCTGGGGCTATTTATGAAAAGTTTGCTGACAGGGAATTTTCAGACACTCAAAGTCATTTTTACAAATTACTTTGAGTGTCATTAGGTTAAAAATCAATATCTTTATAGTCTAAACTTTACGTTTTCCGCTCAAGCAAAGTATTGGGGTCATTTGGATAAAAGAAGTGGAGAATACTTTGTGTTGCTTACCCATTTTAAGATTAAAGTCAATATAAATGGGGAGGGGGTGATTTAAAATGGTGAGAAAAAAGATGAAATGGTAAAAAGTGAAATCAAAAGAACACTGTGGCCAGGACTTAAGAATAAGATTTATGAACAAAAAAATTTCAGCTTGCAAACATCCAGTGGACACGTACTCTCAAAACACACCAAACCTGCTCTGAAAGAACACAGCAGTGTCAACATACCACCATTTGTGACTTTAATCACAAAAGATTTGAAATTCTTCTTTCACCATTTCAGATTTATTCTTAAAATGAAATTTGAACCATATTTCCTACGTTTCATTTTTATCCTGTAACTGATAAGAAAAATAAGCTCCACCAAAAGAAGGTAAAATGTTTTCCCATTTCCAGTGACCCTAACATTGTGTTTCATTTGGATTTTGGTTTTGAAAATGAATACATTCGGTCACCTAAATTGTGACGGTAACATCTTTGATATTTGGCTGTAAATAACTGGTGGAACTGTTTATTGCAGGGCAGGTTGATGTCTGTCTGCCCAGGAGTCTGGAAAGATAAGAACTTGTGGATTTCAAAATAAATGCTATTCCACAGTTTTGGTTTTATTTGTGATAAGTAATTAAGGTTTTAAATGGACTAAATCAGACTTTCTTCATGTAAATGAATGTATGGTGCAAGGAGGTTGGCCAGGAAGACATTGTTGATATTTGTTGGTAATTTTATTTCCAGCCATCTGTGGCAAAATGGAACATGGGCAAAGGTGAGTGACCGATAAGATGTTGGGGACATTGGACTTTACCAGTCAGATCAGGGTGTGGATAACAGGAGACATTATACAATGAAGAGATGGTTTACTACTGCAGAAAGTAAAATTCAGTCAATAAACCATATCTCTAATTATTACACCTGCTGCCTTTTGAACAGATAAGGCCTCCCTTTATCTACTTAACATTGAATAAAATCAAAGTCTGATATATGATTTTAGATGTTGCTTTCTTTTATTAAGAAAAAGCTAAGATTTGGGGGTAAAGCGTTAGGACAACCGGTAAAGTCTACGTAAATACAATAAGCTGCTTCAGGAGAAAATGAGCAAAGCAACTCAGTGCATTTTAATATTCAAGAGTCAATGACCTACAGTAACCCCTGGTGTTCCCTTTTTCACCCTTTCTCCTCCCTCCCACTCTGTTTTCCCTCCCGTCTCCCATAGGGCATTGTAGAAAGCCACTTCTTTCCTACTCGCTCTCCTCCAGTTATCAAGTCATTAAAACCTCGGCACAATAAGTCAGTGGGCTTTGGGCATCCCATAAGGCCCACCAGGGAAAGCCGGTCCTCCATCAGCGCAGAGGAATCGACACACTCAAGCTGTGGACTGGCATGGGCGAGATGGATAGGCAGTAATTGGGACATCCACTTCAGAGGTAAGGTCAGTCTCACCTGACACATGCTCACTGTTGCAAATATATTTGAATCTAATGATGCTCTTTAGCAGAGTTGTATTTTTTAGGTTGTTTTGTTTAGTGAAAAAGTTTCTCTGTTTCAAATTTAAGAGAGAAAATCTGCTTACAGTGTACTAACACAAACAGAGGCAAACAATTGGGCAGCATTTGTAAATGCCAATATTATAAAGTTCATTTTGTCTTCCTTGTAATAACAAACATGTTTGTTTGTTATATAATGAAAGCTTTTCTTTTTAGTCTGTGGAGGTTGGAGAGATGAATTACTCCCATCATCAGCTCTGCAGCCATTCCACTGATTCAGTTTTATTTATCACTTCTCTTCTCTGTCAGAAGAAATGAACGTGTGTATGGAATTAATTTAGTCCAAACTTTTACCATGTGGGACAAAAATGCTAAGCCAAAAGTAAAAACAAAAATAAAAAAAGAACATGTTTTTTCTTTTTCTGTTTTTACCTGTTCCAACAATAAACCAACCATGTAATAATTTAACAAAAAGTAATGAGATTTTTTTTTTTACTTTGCTGCAGGAAAGAGAAGTGTAAACCATTGTCGAAGCAAATCTTAGAGTTTTGCACATTTGATTTATTAAAAGAAGGGTTCAGTTTGCAAATTCTTTTGAGCTCAGATATTATATATATATATATAAAAAACTAGAAAAAGATTTAGTCTGTTACCAGCAATAAAAACAAGATTTGAGTCTCACTCTTTTTGATAACACCTCTACATTCTGCCTGGTTCCATAAATTATTTAAAAACTAATTTCTTTGCTCCAAAGTCTGCATTTGAGTGAAAGTCACTGGATAGATGCAGTACTTTTTATTGTGAAATTAAAGAGAATGAAAAAGCTTTGGTGTTTGACTGGACAGATTTACATTGAAAATAAAAAGTCTCTAAATTTGTATCATTCTTGAATTTCTGTCAGTGGACACACAAAATCTGTCCATGGGCTGCAAATGGTCTCTGGACCACACTTTGAACAACCCTGCTCTTTAATTGGGAATGCACAATTAGAATACGGTCAGATTAGATTATGTTTGAGCTTCAGATTAAAGTCTGATAATGGGGTTTCTTTTAGATCTGACCCGCTGATTCAGAAATGCATTCTGCAGCTTTTTGGATACAGATAAAGACGCATCAAAGTACATGATGTTTGTTAATCATTCCATGGAACAAAAATGTATGGAGTTCTTAGTTGTGAAAGATTTAATGAACCGAGGGAAAAGCTATTGATATTTTTTAGTATTTGACCTGCTGATGACCAATCAGCACTGATCAAGGGAAAATTGGCCGCTTCTAATTTATGCTAAAATTATTACTGCATCCATACTTTATATCCATGGCATAGATTCACATGGGCATTTTATACATGTCCCTCTGTGTCGCCCGTGTAGCATTAAGGAGGTGAATTTTATTTTTAAATCTGGCAAATGACAGAAATCCAGTTTATGAGGCTCATAGTTTTCTGACTCAGCTCGTGGTTTGGGTGGCTGTTGTGGCTTCTGGCCATATTATTATTTTTTTTAGTAGATTATGTAAACCAAGAACTAAAACAGTAACAAAATCCATTTCATTGTGAATATTTACAGGGCTTAACCATACTGCATTCTATCAATAGCATAAGCCGTTTGATCAACCCACAGAAATGAAAGTCAACAACAACCAACTACTTCTTATGTTGTAGCACTTTTATTTAAAAATCATTTAAATCCAACACAGTTTTCAAGACTTCACCTTTAGTTAGACAAACATACTAAACAGGTTATCAGATAACCATACATGAATTTATCTTGTTTAGCATTTCTTCACCTATCAAAATTGACAGTAAAATACATTTTGTTTACTTGTCCTGCAGGCTGGTTAAGAATAGCCTCAGTTTATGCTGGTGTGTTTGCTGAATCAGTTTCCTGAAATATACCCTCTCCCTCCAAGCAGCACATGACAGACTTTCATTTCTGCTTTTGCATCCAATTGGGTTTTTTCACACACTTTGATATTAGGAGTGTCCAACTACAATTAAAGTTTTCTGGCATTTCAAGTCTTTCTAAGAACCACACATTGCTGCTTAAGATGCCCAATCAGCTCATTCTCTGGACTGCATCCCTTTTTTGAGTGAGAATACAATTTTTGTTTATTTACATCTATCTGTATTTACATCTGTCAGTCATGTTGAATTTCGAAAATTTTGTTTTGTGTGCATTTGTCCATGTCTTTGTTAGGAATCTTGCATATTTTGTCGTCTTGTTGTCTGTTAAAAGATTTTCGAAGCTTTAAGTTCATCAGGATCCAAACTCTACCCGTCATGTCTGCAAACAAGCATAGATCTCTGTCCAACCTTACTTTAGTTTTTTTTACATACATACATATAGGTGTTGTATAGATTCCTTACATATAATGAAATATTTCAAGCCTTTTTTTTTCTTTTAATTTTGATGATTATGCTAACAGAGAATAAAAACCAAAAATTCACTGACTCAGAAAATTTTAATAGTGCTAAATATTGTTCAATGCAGTCAACAGTACATGCAAAAGGGGCTCCTTTTACACAAATCACTACTTCAGGGCAGTGTACCATGCACTGAAGAACAGCTATATATTTTTGTTGCTGGTGCACCTTTTAATACCACACATTTTCCTTCCACTCAACTTTCTTTGCACATATTTGGATATAGCACCCTGTAAACGCATAGCTTTTTCAACAGTGACCTTTTGTGGCTTTCCCTCTTTATACCAGTGGCTGACCAGTCAGCAGTCTTCTCCATGATTGTGCAGCCTACTGACCCAGACTGAGACTCAGGAAACTCTTACAGATGCTTTGCTTAATTAGCTGACAAGGGTCAGTCATGACACCATTATTTTCTAACATTCAACTTTTTCACCTATTCAAAATCTTTTTTAATTATCTGTAAAAATGGAGAAAGACAAGAAATAAAGGCTTGAAATATTTCACTCTGAATACTGACTCCATTTAATGAGATTCACTTTCTAAATTGTCAAACATTGAAGTTTTGCATGATAATTAATGTTTTTAGCTACCTGTAGATTGCAGCATATGTATCTGTTTAGTAGGGCTGTGTAATAATATTGATTTTGCGATATATATCGATATTTTCTTTCCTAGAAAAAAATCGATATTCTTCAGCAAGTATCGTACCATCCAACTGTCACCTTGCTCACTCACTGCTTGCTTTACCAGGAGAGCAATTAGGTCATCAGGCTTAGAGTGATTCCTTCAGATGTTAAGTGTCAAGGTTAAAAAGGTATCAACCTATTCAGAACAGGGTACTTGGTGCACTTTATTTACTTTACAAATGCATGTAAGCTACAGTTTGTATTGTTTCAACTAAAAGAAACATGTTTTCTCACCACTTCTTTGATTCTTTTTGTCCAGCTGTTGACTTTAAGTCTGTGTCCACGTCCCACCAGAGTCAGGTATTGTGTAGTTGGTGCTTTTAATCAGTTTTCAGTTAAATTAATTTAATCCAACTCTATAACAGTCACAAAATGTCACCAAAATCACTCTGTCCCTCTAAAATCTTTCAAAAAATCGCAAAATTGTATTGAATTGTATTGTTCTCTGAATATCACAATATATATTGTATTGTGAGCAGAATATCGTGTATTGTATCGTGAGATAATTGTATCACTACAGCCCTACTGTTTGGCCCCCTCCACTCTGTTACCTGAAATAAAATTAATTGTGTCCACCTACCTCCAGGAGTCACCAAATTAGTTCAGTAATTATAAATTTGGTCCTCACCATTTTAGGGAAACATTGCCATTGCTGAAAATTGTGATGGCTCTGACCAAATATGTGAGAGATTTGCAGGGCAACTAGACATATTACCTCCTATTAAATAATTATTCCAAGCAGTCCCTTACAATTACAAACTGTTACAATTGTGATTTGATAGATTTTGGACAATTTAGTAAACCAGTTACTGTAAAACATGTTGCTAAGCTCTTGGTCCTGTCAAACTTGTCAAAGAGATTTTGGTCTTAATGGGTCCTTTATTTGATTAATTAAGTGAAAATAAAGGCTTTATACGTTGCAGCTTTTGAACAAAATCTGCTGGAGGCTGCCAAAGGCTTAAAAATGACTTGTGAATCTAAACCTGCTGCCAGAGCTTCAGTGAAATTATTACGGTTAATGCATGTCTGTGTGTTTATAGGTCAGACAAAGCTAAGACCTTACTCCACATTGGCAAAAATTTAAAAATGATGTCTTCTAATTCTAGTACATAGAAGACTGGGCAAAAAATTAAGTTTATAAACAATCTTTTAGAAAATTTATTAAAAGACGTGACATGAGAAAAAACTTTGGAAACCACTTCACAGTTACACAGATGGCCAAAGCCAACATTAAAGTTTGTAGGTGTGACAAACCTTTCAAAGGTTTGTCACAAGTGGTCTTTGTTCTTCTGCAAAGCGAACTCTGCTGCTTTAACTCGGCCTGGTTATTTTTACTCCACAGGTACACGTTGATTTCGTAATGACAAGCTGCTGTGCAGAAGATGTCCACGCTGTCTGTGACTGATATCCCAGATGTTGGTCATGGTAAGAGGAAGAGGTTATTTCTTAAATCTGAGAGATTAGGCAGGATTATTTCTTCTTAAATATGCCAATATCATAACTCTTCCAGTTAAAATAAATGTATCTATTCTCCCACATTAAAAGAATAAGACTAATTCTGCAAGGTGAAAGTCATAGAACACATAATCTACGCTTTTATTTCCAAGCTTCCTCTAACGGAGTGACTGTTTTTAAATTGTAATAACCATAAAGTCGCTGTTGATTCTGTTAATTCCCTATCATATTGTTTACATTTCTCCGTTCTCCAAGAATTGTTTGTTTTGGACACCTGTTAAAACAGATAAGATAAGAGGAAGCCGAACAATGAGTCTTTGAGTCCAGCGAGTTTGTTTCTCTTTTGTCAGATGAGAGTAAGGTGTTTGACGGGGCCTCTGAGCTGCAGCTGGACTGCTTGGCTGAGGAGAGCGGTGGAAACGCCACAATGAAGCCCGACGGCCTGCTGTCACTGACCGACCTCTCCCAGCCAGATGACTTCCCAGTCGCCTCCCACAATGGCCCGTCGCTCGCCGACATGAGCAGCACTCTGCCGGTGGAGCCAAGTGACATCAAGCTGGATCCTTGTGCAGGTGACGCGTCTGGTGGCGTCGGTAAGCAGAGCAATAAAAGTTTCCTAAGTTTTATTTTGAGTTTGCGTTTCATAAACGGATTAAATGCAGGACCTTACGGTCAGCTGTTTCTAAGGAACAAATTTTCCTCAACGATAATTTGTCCCAGAAGTTATTGCGATAAGTGATAATGTTGTTTTCAAATCATTTTAAAGTAATCTAATGGTAAGGGCATAATAATGCAAAAAATGAAAGATTAATAAGCTTTAAATTCTAACAAAGAGTTAATACTGGAACTAAATATTCAAATATCTAAAATAAATAAACAAAACAACTGAAACTACAAATAACATGAATCATGAAGTCTCTCTAAAAAGAAAACCAATGCACCAGGCTAAAAACTTTTGCCATCAAGTTTTTGGTAGAAAAAAGAGAAAAACAACAAATCATTCAAATGAAAATGATTGAATTTGTTTTAATGTATCTTGTGATCAATTGATTTATTGCTTACTGTGCACATGTATTGTTGTTTTTAGTGGAGCCTAGATTAGTTATTGCAGTGTTTATAATGCACCTGGAGTGATGTCCAGTTCTCCCTAAATAATTAGATTTATTTAGGGGTTTTTCTTGCTTCCAAACCTCTCATAATCCCAATCAAGTCTCTTAATTTTGCAAAGTGGTTCTGGAACATTAAGCTTGCTTATTATGATCCGTCTTCTGCTGCTTGGTGTCCCGACTTCTCTGTGGATTGTTATTCACACATGCTCTACACAGCAGGAGGAGTCTCTGCAGGACGTTCAGCAGGCCGGCCTGAGTTGAGCACGAAGGAGGCGGGACACGATGCTTGAACTATGTTGTAGCGAGTTCTCTGTTTTTGTTTTTAGCAATATGTGGGTGGTGGTACAGATAACCTTGTTGTGCCTGCAATGTTCTTGGGAAAAGAAGGATCGTCTTAAGATGCATTACAAAGGAGATGAAAGTAAACAGATTTTTTTTTTCCTTTGTTTTGTAAGAATTTCACAAGGCAGAACTGAAGCACTTTTTAAATTATCATAACTGTCCTCCTTTTCTTCTTGGGGATTTCCAATCCCCTCATTTTAGATCATGTCAGTGGTACAAAAGTTCAGTATATAATTTGATATACTAACTCAAAAGTTCTAAACATTCCTCCACTGGCAGAATTTATCATTAAATCAATTTGGTGCTTTCTTAGATCTCTTTTTATATTTCTGCTGGGAAATTCTAAGACTTGCAGAAGTGCAGGGTTACCATACAGACCTGAAACATTTAGAAAAGTATGCAATTAGCATTTTCCTTTTTCATGGCTGAATACGTATGTGGAAAGTGTAGCTAATGTTTGCTTTCCCAGACTTTTTTCTTTCGTTCTTTCAAGGACAAAACTCTTAAAACGCTTTATAAACCAGTGGATTTTAAATCTACTTTTAAATGACACACTTCATATTCGACTTGCTACATCACAACTTAATTCTTAAATGTTGTTCATTAAACTGACTGAAAGGCCAGTCATTTAACAACATATCAATTATGGACTGTTTTATAACGGGGCCTGTGGTTCCCAATTAAGCTTGTTTAAAATACTAAACAAAGCCTAAAAGATTTTTTTTTAATCGAGAAATGTTTAACAGTGTTTACAAAACGGACCCTTAACATTTATAGTTCAGCTCACACTTTTGTATAAAATTCCTTATAGGCTTTAAAATAGTGTAGTGTTTATTTAGTGCAAAACCCCCAAAAAAGCAATGAAATACGCTCATAATACACTTTAAAGACATAAAGACATATTTGCTAATGAAGGAGTCAAAACTGTATATTTTGTACTCCAATAAATTATTTTTTAAATTTTGAAACAGGAAAAGTATAAAATCTTTAAATTTATTTATTTTTTTTAAATATGGAAACAGAGAGGAGATCTTTAATGTTAGCATGCCAACGTATAACAAAAAGATACAACAAACGGAGTGGATGTGTTGTGCAAGATCACTTTTTAACAAGAACAATTAATTCTGTTCACACAGGTTAGAACTGAATTTGTTCGTATTCCAAGTACACCACCCAAACATTTTTAGCAAAATTCACACGTTCATATTTATTCCTTAATTTTTTTGATGAAACAAGATTCTGAATAATGTGTACACACGATGACGCTCTTTTTTATTTACATGGTTCCCTGTGCAGAAGGAAAATTGAGTACGAAATCTTGAAGACAACTTTCTAATTGGTAACTTGTATGATACTTCAAAAGCAAAGCAAGATGTGACATAATACAGTAAGCTGTGGTTTTACTCAGCAGCTTGTCTCTTTCAACCCCTCTAGATGGTTTCAGTTCCAGCTGAAACTCTGCATATTAAGTCTACGAGGTCAGGGGATGAGCTTTTTATTTATCTTAAGTTTAAAGCAAAGGAAGTGGCAGCAGTTTGATGATGACTCCTCTCTAAGATCAATTTGTGTGCTTAATAACTGAACCACACATGCATTTAGGTGCACACATGTGCAGCGGTTGTCTATCTCTTGCCTTTTGAGAGGAAATATCTCTACTCAAACACCTTGATTGTATAATCTTACTTTAGATCAGAGCATATTGATTACAACACAGAGAGCTGCTCCCATATGACGTTATGATGCAAAAATGTTACTGCTGCAAGTGAAGATATTTGCAGCATTGCAGGTACTGTAGACTTGTTGCATAACCTGTCAACTCCCTGATTACATCTGGATGATCACTGCAGCATATGCTTTAGAAGATCTTTACAGTTTTTAAAGCAAAGAGTTTGGTTAGACCCTGACACTTCTGACATTTTTTACTCCAAAAAAAACATTATCCACCATATTCAGTGTGCGTACTGCTCAATCCTGCTAGGTGCTGCTCCTCTGCACCAAATCCTTCAACTTTCCATCTATAAGAATATGTTCTGGAACAAACTTACTCCCCCCAAACTGCACTTATAGAGTAACTATAATCTAGGAAATAATCTGCAAATTTATCCACAAAAATCTGTGATCATGTGGCATTCCTTAAATGTCATACTTTAAAGTTTCGTGTTTAATCTTTGTGAAACTATTTAATTTCCTATAAGCCACCCTTTAGAAATCTAATACGTTTTTTGTATTCTTGTGTAGATGGGCAGCCGGTGAAGAGAAAAAAGGGTCCTGCTCCGAAGATGCTGGGCAACGAGGTGTGCAGCGTCTGCGGTGACAAGGCTTCCGGTTTCCACTACAATGTTTTGAGCTGCGAGGGCTGCAAGGGATTTTTCCGCCGCAGTGTCATCAAAAGCGCCCAGTACTCCTGCAAGAACAACGGCCGCTGCGAAATGGACATGTACATGCGCCGCAAGTGCCAGCAGTGCCGGCTGCGCAAGTGTCGGGAGGCGGGCATGCTGGAGCAGTGTGAGTGTCTTCACGCCAAATGAACTCAAGATTTTTATATATACTGTAAATAAAATTGCGTCTTTGACTCTGAGATTGAGCTTTTGTGCCAATTATCATCCTCTGTGACCCACAGGCGTGCTTTCTGAGGAACAAATCCGGTTAAAAAAGCTGAAAAAGCAGCAGGAGGAGGAAACGGCACGCACGTCCACAGTGGTCACACCGACCCCTCTGCAGGAAGTAGCCACGCTCGACCCACAGCAGCAGGAGATGATCGAGAAGCTGGTGGCCATGCAGAAACAATGCAACAAGAGGTCTTTCCTTGACCGACCAAAAGTTACGGTAAATGGACGACATGTAGCCCAACAAATGGTCTTCAAATGTTGTTGCTGTTTGCTTGGCATGGGTCTCACCAGACTATTTGTGAATATTTCCAGCCTTGGCCCCAGAGTCAAGACTTACAAAACCGAGAGGTGCGACAGCAGCGGTTCGCCCACTTTACAGAGCTCGCAATAATGTCCGTTCAGGAGATTGTGGATTTCGCAAAGCAGCTTCCTGGTTTCCTGGAGCTGACAAGAGAAGACCAGATCGCTCTACTAAAAACCTCCACCATTGAGGTTCGTTTTGAGTTCCCGTCATTCAAAGCTGCTTTGACTCAACGATTCTAAAGTTAAAATGATTCAAGTACATTTTTCAAGATTCAGCATCTTTTTACCTATTTTTTTGTAAATGAATGTTGGATGCAGTTGAGTTTGTGGCAAAAACTCTGACTCTGCAGCATCAGTGTGTCACTCAAGTGTTTGACCTCCACAGATTATGCTGTTAGAGACGTCCCGGCGATACAATCCAGCCATTGAAAGCATTACTTTTCTGAAGGATTTCAGCTATAATAAGGATGATTTTGCCAAAGCAGGTACTCTTATCATTTAGTCAATGAAAGAAATCATATTATGTACTGTTTTCCATAAAAATCTTGAAGCATTTTCCCATTAAACCCAGTTTTTTCCTCTTTTTACCCATCTCCTTCTTTTCTCTCTTGTTCCATTCCCCCAGGGCTTCAGTTTGAGTTCATTAACCCCATATTCGAGTTTTCAAAAGGAATGAACGACCTGCACCTCGATGAGGCCGAATACGCTCTGCTCATTGCTATCAACATCTTTTCTGCAGGTTAGAATGAATAAACTGCACAGCTTGCTGTTCATCATCATTATATAGGGCTCAGAGTGAGCCAAATGCTTATAGTCCCTCAAGGATGAAATGGTCCATTTCAGCTTGCAGACTGTGCATTTAGAGTAACATTTATCATATCTTAACAAAATTAAAAATTCTCTAGTGACAGATTTAAGTTGCCTGTGTATGCTTTGCTTTAATTTGTGTAGATCGGCCAAATGTGCAGGATCACGATCTTGTTGAGAGGCTGCAGCAGCCCTATGTGGACGCTCTGCGCTCTTACATCATGATAAAGAGACCAAATGTAAGTTCCTGCCACATTATGTAACCTCTGCTCTTATGACCGAGAGTGTGTCAGCATAACAGGCACTTGAGGTCACAACTGAGGTCATATTATACTGCTGATATTAGCAGTGAAGGGTTGAATTTAGGAGCAGTTGTCTGCTTTAAAATGTTATGTGGACTTTAAATTTAAAGCATATCGTTACTTTAAGTATAATCTAAAAGGGCTTCAATTTGATGATTTGTTGAGAAAATTCTTCCCCTAAATATGGAGGGTTTGTCAATATCCTCTCACAATAACTTCTCTACTTTTAAGAAAGTGAGAGGCTTCAGTCAAAAAAACTAAATGTTTACTGTCTTTAGAGGTGTACTTCATAATTTTTTGATTTTAGTAAGAACATAGTTGGAATGTTTATATTTTTAAGTATCTGAAATGTTAATTATGCTCAATTGTGTAGTTGTTGTTGAATTTGTAAAAAAAAAAAAGAAAAAAAAAGTGTTAAATAAACCAAGCAGACAAAAGTTGCTCAAGAATGTGTCTCATACAGAATACCAAACTCTGGAATCAATTCATGACACATTCAGCGCCCAGCAAGAAACTGTAAATTCATAAGGTTTGATTTTGCTACAAAGTTGTTGAGTGACTGCTTGTGACTAAAATCCTAGTGCAGAAAACTAGAAGTCTTGTAGCAATCAGGTAGATGATTTCATTTTTGGCCCAGTTGTGACCAGCATTGTTATTTTGATATGAATGTGCCTGATCTCTGCCTGTGGAACATTTACATAAGGGAGCTGTGTGAAAACTAGCAGCAGTAAATGGGAAGCACTTGAAAGTCTCAATTTTCTATACACCATCAGTTCCTGTTTTGCTTGTGAAGGTTCAACTGCAGTACAAAAATGTAGCTGCCCAATTATTATTCCGTGGACAATGTATGTCCCTAGCCCTACACTTGCAGCATATATTTTCTTTCAAAAAGTTTATCATAATGCTACACATATACTCGGTGGAAGTTAAAATCCAGACTTAAAACAATCACTTTTCTCCTTTATAAGACTCACAGTTCTTATAAAATTTTGAAAAAAAAAAATCATGTTTTGTTTCTATTAAACATTGTTAGATCTGGTTCACATCTTTAAAAGATCTCCTTTGCTAACAATGTGCTATGAATTGATAGTTTTTCAATGTTTTCTTCAGGATCACCTGATGTTCCCCCGTATGTTGATGAAACTGGTGAGCCTTCGCACATTGAGCAGTGTCCACTCGGAGCAGGTTTTTGCTCTCCGTCTCCAGGACAAAAAGCTTCCCCCGCTGCTGTCTGAAATCTGGGATGTCAATGAGTGACTGCGGTCCAGGTGTCTCACTCCATGGCTTATGGACCCTGAGAGGGACATGACTTCTGTGAAAAGACCGCCAACTCCTCTCTTCTCTTGTGGTCAGGGACTGGATATTGCCTTGAGATTTTTGTTTTACCCTGAAGGGAGTAGAGTGCTCTAACCCTTTGGTCCCTAAAAGACTGTTAAGCAGCATTGTGTGCAGTGGAGGAAACATGCACACAAACATTTCTTTTTTTCTTTTTCTTTGTTGTAGATGCTCACATGATTGTGGTTAAGTTTAGGCTTTAAGGGTTTTGAGACACTTTTCTTTGATTCAGTCTTTGCTGAAAGTTAAAGTCGGTCATTTGCGTGGTTCCGTACCTTTCTTCTACTAATTAAATCAGGAAGCACTGAGCAGGTCTTGGCTGTTACTGTCTTAAAAATTGCAATGTCTCATTAAGAGGAAAAGATGATTTCTGCAGCTGTGCAGAGGCAGAGATGCTTTTCTGCCTGTATTTTTGTCCTGATTCATGTATGACAACAACCAGTTTGCATTTCCTTCAGAGTAAATTCAGAGGTCTTTTGGTTGGACTCATTGCTCAGGTAAAGTAATGTGAAGCAAACCTCTGAGAAGCAGAGGCTTCTTTAATTTTAAGTATATTACTCTTTTTTTCCTTTCTTTCTTTCTCACTGCAAAAGGGACCTTTTTGGTCATTCATAAATGCCCATTAACATTTATGAAAGTTGGACATCACATATCTATAAGAATGTACAATCATTACATCTAACGAGATCCTAAATTCCTTCAAGTGGCGTCAATAAAGTCAATCAATGCATTTAAATTAATGTATTCTCAAAGATTAGTAAGTGGATTAAGGAAGTGTTTTACTAGACTAGGCTCCAGTCTAATTTTAAAGAATTCCTAAATGGGAATCTGATTGTTATTCAATATTACCTGTATGACATTTTGTTTTATTTGTGATTTGTTTTTTTGTGGAAAAAATACCTTTTTTCATGAGAAATACCATGAAAAAATTAATTTTTTAAATTTAAGTTAATAAAATTTTGCAACTGCTTTTATTTAACAACACACTGAAAAAAGAAAATGTAGTTATAAAGCTAACTTGATCTAAAAGGTCTTATTAAATAAGCATTCTTGAACTTGATACCAGCATCTATGTTGAGAACCGTCAATAAAAAGGCACCAAAATTCAGCAAAGAGCAAAGACATTAGAATGTAAGTTGTAGTGAACTTTATAATTACTGGGATGTGGTTCTTTTGGTTGTTCTCCTTGAATTGCCTGTCGGTGTGAAGTTGAAATCTTGGATAATCAAAAACTTAAGTGTGAAATTTGTGGAGTTTATTTTTCAGTGTCCTCTTTAGACAGCATAAATGTGAATGATTGAATATTGTGGGTTAATTAGCTCTGGGCTATTTCCCATCTTCAGATGTTTCTAGTTGCGTTGCTAATTTAAAAGCCACTTGAATAAAATCCCAAACCCACCGTCTGGGAACTGATTTATATGGCATGCAAACAAAGCTAGACTGGGTCAGGACAAGCATAAATGTAAAAACTAAGAGTCTGTTTCCCCTGGTATTTTTCTGACCATATGTTGGCTCAGACATTTTGCTTTCTTCCTCAAAATTTTTTGTTATTTTTACAACATTTTAATTCTTTGAAAATTATATTTTCAGAAAGAGGTCTATTGTTGAGAGTACACACAATATTCTTTTGGTTTGAACATTTTACTTTTGTGTTCCTTTGCAATAGAATTTGTGGGATTTGTTCGTAACTATTGGGTTTGACGCCTACAGCCAAACACTAATCTCTGTTAGGGATCCAGCCAGGGTGCCCAAATCAAATATCCAACCCACCGACTGAGGGAAAAAGATGAAACTGAAACCATCATGGCTGAGTGTGCTGTGGTGTAATCAACTCAAAACTATTTTTTGTGTATGAGTACATGTTAATGCTCTAGCTATCAAAGTTAATTTTACTGTATATACTGTAATTGTAACATCTGATCTAATTCTTGTCTTCAAAGGGTGACTGTAAACATTGATATATAGAAATGCAAAACTATTTTAATACTTGTAACTTCTAAAGATGACCTGTTTTGTATGTACAGTATAAATTAAAGCTCTGCTGTAGTGTTAATGTGATGGGGTTCTTCATTTCTCAAGCTTTACATTTACGAAGTTCAAAGTATAAAACATTTGCAGCAGTTCATCATTTTAACAGTTTGAGGCAAAACTAGCAGTGGGGTGCTTCTGATGTTGCAGTACTGTTAGCCTTGTGTCAGCAAAGTACTGAGGAGTTCCTGCTGCAGTCCTGCAACAGGTCCTGGATGAAGGGTAGGGACACTCCCAATAGGCTTCTCAGCTACTTTCACCATCCTTGGCAGGAGTCTCTTATCTGCCAGATTGCAGCTGGAGTAAGATGCTGTGATGCAGTACATCCACATATACTAATCCATATTCCTGCAGAATGTAGTGAGGATGCAAGTAGAAAGTGGGACCTGTTTAAGTTTCCCAGAAAAGCAGTCTCTGCTGGTCCTGTTCACAAAATAAACAGGAAATCAGGAAGGGGACACACGTTTTCAAGCCACTATCGGTATAAGGGCTATAAATGATAAGTATGAAAGTATTCCTGAGTATTTGCATTTCTAAACCTATGCAGTGTGACTGAGTTCTCTTTGGGGCCCATGACCAGCAGGGGGCTCTAAAAGGTCGCAAATATTGCATGTATATTGGGCTGCACCTCTTATCACCTATTAGTAAAATGTCAATACAAGGCATTTTTGCTGCATGTTTTTTTTTTCTATGATTAAGCACTTGTGATGTTTAACTTTGGGTAATTCACAAATTCTTTATCTATGTGAATTTTACGTGCAGGCAATACTAAACCCAGATTGCTGTCTGACAGGTGTAGTGTCTTATAAAATCGCTCGCTCCATTTAGATGAAAAGCAACAAAATAAAATCAGAAAGTAACTGAGGGAACCATTATACAATGCGGTTTTTGTTGTTTTGCAAGTTTAATACTTCCTTTAAGTTGGGTTTTGAGTATGCGGAACTTCGTGCAGACTGAAGATGATGAGAAGGAGGAGTAGGATGTTGTGAAGTCAGGTTGTAACTGACCGAACCACTAATTCATCCAGTAGGGAGGCGGACACACGCATTTCCATCACTTACTACGCTGTCAACCAGTCACACTCAGTGACAAGCCCTCCCATTTATTGTTCGTGTCCGGCTTTTTAAATGACCAACCGTAACCTTGAGAAAACACGACATAATTCACACAACCACCGCTTCCTCTCCAGTATCTGTGACCGAGAGAGTCATTCAAGACGCAGGCCGTCGTCTTTGGCAGTTGGTTTCACAGCGAACGTTAGCGGCTAGCAGGCTAATGTGAGAAGGTAAGGATGTTCTACTGCTGCTTGTGAATTAAAACCCAGATGGCGTGTTGGTTGCATATTTCCTGGCTGATAATTTTTTAATATGACCTCCTGACGTGGGAGTTGGTAGTTAAGTATTTAGAGGTTCAGCAGCAGAGCTCCGGTTAGCAGTAGCACAACTAGTTAGCCTGCTAGCTAATCCATCCGTGGCGTAGGAGAGCACACAGGCAGCGCGGACAGGAGGTGAGAGGATGCTTATAAAGGACAAACAAAACATTGACTGCATGCTATAAATATAAAAATGATAACGCTGCCAGAGTTATACAGCGGGCTGTCAAGAGGCGTTGGCATTGCCTTATTATATTTGTTAAAGTGTCAATATGTGACACCCAATGCCCTTACACTTATCTCCTCAGTTAGTTTAGTATTCCCACTACAGCTTATCACTAGCTCACAGTGGATGGTTTTTCACTCCGTCATTAACACAGAGGAGTTTTTCGAACATATTGGTCACGAACTAGCATGTGGCAGACTTCCCGAAAGATCTTGCGATAAGGCAGTTAATTTAAAAGGATTGAATGGCCGTTGCAGTTGGGTAAACATGAACGTAGCCAGCTTTTTAACACCCGTGTTCAGAAAAGCTGTAGCGTCACGTTTCTCTGTGTTTTCATTTACATTTTTAATGTATGATTAAATATGATTTGTCGGGTTTAATGAAATATAATGCGGAAGACGGGCTTTGAGGACAGAATGTACACAGAGACAGGATGAATACAGTAAAGAAAGCATCAGTTTAGTACATTATGGAATGAATTATGATGCATAAATGCATCATTTTCTGTGTGTTGGAGCCTCTGAGCACGATCTTCCTCTCTGGTATAAAATAAATTACATTTCAGTTATAAGATGTGGATGAAACATTTATACTAGCTTGTCTCACACTATTCGTCAGAACAGCTTGGTGTGTGCATGACCCCCGCACAAGCTGTTACCTACGTAAATCCATCTATCACTACTTATTGAGTTCCCATGCAGCATTTCATTTTTTTCCAGGTCTGGATAAGTTTTGAAAAAGAATAACGGAATAGTAGTTGAGTTTTCACTATCCATTTGCCCATCTATTATTCTAACAGCCTTCAAGATAAGAAATTTTGCATCCATATGTAAAGACTGGCTGACAAACAAGTTCTATATTTGAAAGTGGATCAAAGGATGGACTAAGAACTCTGTAAATCTAATTGTGGAAAAGTTTTTGACTATCTAAATATATTATTTTGACTTGTGTGGATGCACCTATGACTCATATTTCTGGAGGTGTAATTAAGATTCCAATAACAGGAGCACTTAGAGGGAATACTTCACTTTTATTTTATGTCTTTTGAAAAACATCTAAATGACATTAGTTATCTGATAACCATCTTATCTGATACAATGACAGATTTATTAAACATTAGTGTTGAATAGTGAAGGTCACTGCAGCCTGATGAATCACATTTTGACCCATAATGGATAATTCATATGCTAGCTGTGATGCGAATTTGAAAATATTGAACAGGATAAAATAAAGCAATGAAGTGGTGACTTTTATCCTCAGGATCAAAGGCAGCGGCTTTCAGTTCAAAGACTCATCATGACATACACATTGAATATTTTTCTTTCATCAGCCTGGAAAAAATGAAATATTTTTGTCATGGCTTGAAAAACCTTAAACAACCTCACAGAAGTGAAAACCCAGTTTGTAGTTGAATTGTACGCACCTTTTGTAGCTTGATATGGATAGACCTCAGCTGTCACCTTTACAAAAAAGCTGTTTTTACATTGTGTAATTTGATGATGCCATACATTGAGAGTCATCGACATTTTAACAGTTGACTCACAGAACCCACATTTTTTGTCAAAGGGCTACTTCAGGATCTGGATGTTAAGTTTGCAATATGACACTTAAGCACACAATTCTAGTTAATATGTACATTTATTTTAGCTGAAGAACAAAAATGACTAGATCAGTCCTCTAGTCGTGTCAATGTCAAGACTCCAAATGGTTGCATGATGTTTTATTTTCCAGGCTCTAAACGACACCAGCGCTGCTCAACTGAGCAATGTTTTGACGTGATGACTGATAGTTTTTTGAAGCACACGTCGTCCTTCATGTGTTTTAGTTGCTTTGTTGAGCTAAAACTACTCCATCACT